CATCTGTTCAATTAATCGAGTCAATAAATTGCTGACATACGCTGGCACAATAAATGGCAACAAAACACAACATAAAACGATCACAGATAAAAGTAAACAAAATCGTATCGTTCAGCTCATGTCTGATTTATCCCGGAGAGTTTGTTAGTTAGTTAGTTAGCTAACAGTTTGTGGCTTTGAGAATGCCCTCTCCCTGAAGTGGAATCTATTTGAAGGACAATTCACGATTGACTCTTCTGAACGCTTTCCTTTCGTGATACGGTAGCTGGGTTCGTAGGTCTCGGAATTTGTGGATTTTGAGGCTCAAAATGCGTGACATGGGCACTAAGAGCTTATAACTTGTATCGGGCACTTGAGAATACATTGTCTGCGTCTCGCTCGTCCCCATGTTCTCTCGTCCACAAACCTATTCTCCCAGCTTGGCGCCCTAGACGACGCGGAGATGGCGGTGACGTTGCTCAGGAGCTGTGATTTGCACTGTGAGGATAATGAGCATAGTTAGCATGCTGCTTGACCACAGTAACCGAGTTTTGGCATACTGTGCTATCGAAATTCTGTGATTCGCATCATGGCACAATAATGCATGGGTAAAGGATTGTTTTTTCACCGTCTATCCATCCAGTGTTCATCAATGCCTTTTTGGGATGCGCCACACACTATACTTCCATTCAAAATGGTGGTGACACTCGAACGCTCGAACGCAATTTGGCCCACACAGTAACTTTGGAGCCAGCTATAGTGAGCTCGGCCTGTGTTTTTATCCTCTTGGACGAGTATGGCAGGGTGAATCCGACCACGGGAAGAAGGAAGACTTGGTTTACCTAGACGGCGTGCGATCCCTGATTTGCTCACCGACTGTGTACGCAGTGAGTTGACCGCTTCCCACACCACTCCATACAACCACAAAATCAATCGGGCCGCAACCCGATCACACGCAGTCGCAGATCAAAACCCTTATCGGGCTGGGTAGCCTAACACGGTTTTTGATGTGATCATACAGGACCTTAACAACAGCTTTAAGTTATTGTTAAAGCGCTTACCATAAATGTCTTGCGGTGGTATGTTGCCATGGATGCTCTGCTTATATAGCCCGTAGAGAATCAGTTTCTCCTCATCGGTTGGGTCTTTCTTCAATCGTCGCATTTCCTCAGCGGCAATGTCGAAATTCATGCCGGTCCATTTCTGAAGGATATGCTTTGAATTCTAAGCGAAAAGAAGTGGAAAACTCGAAAATAAGATTTACTACAATTAATATTTCAATTATAATTTTATCTCTGAGAA